AAACCAGGACTAAAACCAGGACTAAACCAGGACTAAACCAGGAAACTAAACCAGGACTAAACCAGGACTAAACCAGGACTTAAACCAGGTCTAAACCAGGACTAAACCAGGACTAAAACCAGGTCTAAACCAGGACTAAACCAGGTCTAAACCAGGTCTAAACCAGGACTAAACCAGGTCTAAACCAGGACTAAACCAGGACTAAACCAGGACTAAACCAGGTCTAAACCAGGACTAAACCAGGACTAAACCAGGACTAAACCAGGACTAAACCAGGACTCTAAACCAGGACTAAACCAGGACTAAACCAGGAAAAACCAGGTCTAAACCAGGACTAAACCAGGTCTAAACCAGGTCTAAACCAGGACTAAACCAGGAACTAAACCAGGACTAAACCAGGTCTAAACCAGGTCTAAACCAGGAACTAAACCAGGTCTAAACCAGGTCTAAACCAGGACTAAACCAGGACTAAACCAGGGACTAAAACCAGGACTAAACCAGGTCTAAACCAGGACTAAACCAGGACTAAACCAGGACTAAACCAGGACTAAACCAGGACTAAACCAGGACTAAACCAGGACTAAACAGGTCTAAACCAGGACTAAACCAGGATTAAACCAGGACTAAACCAGGACTAAACCAGGTCTAAACCGGGACTAAACCAGGTCTAAACCAGGTCTAAACCAGGACTAAACCAGGACTAAACCAGGACTAAATCAGGTCTAAATCAGGTCTAAATCAGAACTAAACCAGGACTAAACCAGGATTAAACCAGGACTAAACCAGGATTAAACCAGGACTAAACCAGGACTGAACTAGGACTAAACCAGGTCTAAACCAGGACAAAATCTGGACTAAACCAAGTCTAAACCAGAATCGAACCAGAACTGAACCAGGACTAAACCAGGACTAAATCAGGACTAAATCAGGATTAAACCAGGACTAAACCAGGACTGAACCAGGACTAAAATAGGACTAAACCAGGACTAAACCTACGCGGGCACACCTCTGGCCCGACCCGACGCTCAGAACCGTAACGATGGTGTTTCATTTCTGCTGATATCGCCGTAATTTCAGCAAATTTGTCTGAAGAAAAACGAAAAACCCTCCACTTGAGTCCAGGTTAAAAATGCAAATGTGACGAGCGTTACTCACATTTGTAAACAGGAAAATATTCCCCTTTTTCCCCCTGTAATTCCACATTACTGCATTACAACAACAAAAACAACGCAGCACAGTAACTCAGTACTTTTATAACGAGTTCCTCCCCACACTGCTGATTCAGGATCAGTGCAGGTGAAAGTTTAAGGAGCAGCTCCGTGAAGTCGCCCCATCAAACGCACAACGACACCAAAATGATGACAATTGTTTGTGCTGCAACAAGTTTCGTTTGTGCTGCTTTAGTTTTGGAGATATTAACGATTCTTTTACAGATCAAACTGGGGTCAGCAGCCTCCAGGAAACTTCAAAATGAAATAAAACGACACAAAATGGAGTCAATCGTTTGCGCTTCGTTTGTGGTTTGTGTGATTCTGGTTCTTAAGATATTTGAAGTTTTATTTTGGGTCGATGACGTCGTCCAGCTCCTCAAAATGTGAAAAAGCCTCAGAACAGCAGAAAATTAAGCCAAACATTTGTATTTTGTTTGAGCTGTTTTATGTGTGGCTGTTTTCATTTCATTTGTGTGAGTTCGTTTCTAAAATTCTAAAAAGCCGAGAGGGTCACAACAAACGCAAACACTGAAACGAAAAAAGTACAAATTACTTAGCGACAACACAACAAAAAGCCACAACGGAAGTGACCGCGGGACTCTATTTTAATGCAAACGCCGCAACAAATACAAACGCCACAACACAAACGCAAATGCCACAACACATTAAAAAGCTACAACACATTAAAAGGCCACAAAGGAAGTGACCGCGGGACTCTATTTTCCGACGGACCGACAAGTGAAGAAGAAGAACGTGAAACGAATAACGATAAAACAATAAATTACTTTTACTTACGTTTCCAACTTCTCCGTTCCTTTACTTTTCACGTTGTAGTTCTTCTTCTTCATTTGATGCTGATCGGTCCATCGGAAAATAGAGTTACGCGGTCACTTCCGGCGTGGCTTTTTAATGTGTTGCGGCTTTTTGATGTGTTGTGGCTTTTTAATGTGTTGCGGCTTTTTGATGTGTTGTGGCTTTTTAATGTGTTGCGGCTTTTTGATGTGTTGTGTTTATGTGTTGCTTTTTAATGTGCTTTTTAATGTGTTGCTTTTTTGATGTGTTGTGGCTTTTTATGTGTTGCTTTTTATGTGTTGTGGCTTTTTAATGTGTTGCTTTTTATGTTTGCTTTTGATGTGCTTTTTATGTGGCTTTTTATGTGTTGTGGCTTTTTAATGTGTTGCGGCTTTTTAATGTGTTGTGGCTTTTTAATGTGTTGCGGCTTTTTGATGTGTTGTGGCTTTTTAATGTGTTGCTTTTTGTGTGTGCTTTTTGATGTGTTGTGGCTTTTTAATGTGTTGTGGCATTTGCGTTTGTGTTGTGGCTTTTTAATATGTTGCAGCTTTTGCGTTTGTGTTGCGGCTTTTTAATGTGGCTTTTTAATGTGTTGTGGCATTTGCGATTGTGTTGTGGCTTTTTAATATGTTGCAGCTTTTGCGTTTGTGTTGCGGCTTTTTAATGTGTTGTGGCATTTGCATTTGTGTTGCGGCATTTGTATTTGTTGCGGCGTTTGCATTAAAATAGAGTCCCGCGGTCATTTCCGTTGTGGCTTTTTTTGGTTTGTTGTGGCTTTTTGTCGTGTTGTCGCATTTGTATTTGTTGCGGCGTTTGCGTTTGTTGTGACCCCTCTCGGCTTCCGTACAAAAACGCCGTCACCTTCTAAACGAAAGACACTTCCCATAAAACATTTTGTTGTTTTTAAGACTGATCCAGACTTTTCCGCAGCCTCAGGTCGTTTCTCTTCATGAGTTTTGTGCAGTTTTGTTAAAGTCGCTGACGTCAGATGAGTGGAAATAACCTCATATAATCTTCACAAAAATAGTAATGAATGATTTTAGAAATAAACTCACACAAATAAAACAGTCACAGCACAAAACAGCACAAACAAAACACAAATGTTTGGTTTAATTTTCTGATGTTTTGAGGCTGTTTGACGTCATCGACCCAAAATAAAACTGTTCAGATCTTAAGAAAGAGAATCACACAAACAAAACCTTTTACAGCACAAACGATTCACTCCATTTTGTGTCGTTTTATTTCATTTTGAAGCTTCCTGGAGGCTGCTGACCCCAATTTGATCTGTAAAAGAATCGTTAATATCTCCAAAACTAAAGCAGCACAAAAAAGTGACATAGTTTTTGTTTAGTTGTGCGTTTGACGGGGGCGACTTCACGCAGGTTTAAGGAGCCACTGTTCAGATCAGAGGCACTTTAAGTTCAAACACAGAGGATTTCAGTGTTTCAGCAACCCAAATGAGCTCTCTTCCACCTCGTGATGTCATGAAGTGGTCGTTTTCAAGTGAACAGCTCCGTTTGACTTTAGTTCGGTCGAGATCGGCAACTCCAGGACTGAAAACGAAACTGAAAACCTCCAAATGATTCTAGTGAAGCTGTGTGGAGTTTAGAAACACAGTGGAGCCCTTCCTGCATCACCACATGATGACATCACAAGGTGGAACGCTGCCGAAACCTGCAGAGTTTGAGAATGAAATGCAACACGAGTGCGGGTTTGATCAGAAAATAGCTCCAGACTCACAAACGCTCACCGTTTTTCCTCTTCCCGGATCGTGTCCTTTTACAGTTTTTTGGTCGTTTTTTTTCTTGTAACTCCGTGTTAAACTTCGTCATGTGTTTTATTTTTATTTTTCATCAACGTTTCCTGACCTGACGGAGCTCGTTCTGTGTCACTGTGTAATACGTTTAATCAAACGCAGAGGAGCAAGGACATATGTCGCCGTCAAGAGAGTTTGCAGACTCCAGGAACCATGGCAACAGAATTTGTTAATGTAAGATTCCTCCTGCGCTTCACACACACTGTTCCCTCCATCGCCCCTGACCACAGCGCCGGACAGAGGTCAGGGGTCACACACACACACACTGACCGTACAGCGGCGTGGTCTCCGGAGAACAGGCCCACAGGCTGCACTTGTATTCAGAAAAGGTAAAATATCACAGTGGCCCCTCGGATCGTCGCTCACACAAAAGACCTGAGGGTGCGGCCTTGGTGAGCGCAGAGGAGGAGGGGGGGGGGGGGGGGGGGGGGGGGGGGGTCCTTGGACACGTCCGCGGTGAACACAAACACAAAGCTCCTGATGCTGCTGATGCTGATGCTGATGTCCTCTGGCTCTTTATACGACTCCTACAAAACAACAACAAAGAGCTTTAAAAAGGCAACATTTCATGAGCCACTCACAGTGCCGGAGCCTTTACACCGACGATCTGATCGCTCCATTTCACTCACACAGCACATTGTTATTTATACTATTATATATTTATATATGTAAATAGGCTCATTAAGATCATATCAACATCATTTGTCTGTGACTGTGTCCACAGGCCGCTCCACGTCCAGTCTCCTGGTCTGGGCGCGTGCAGTGTGCGCGCGTGTCAGTGTGCGCGCGCAGAGGATTCTGGTTCATATTTTGTTATTGCCTTTTACAAAAAGCTCAGTCATAAAGACTGTTTCTTTGATCAGACGTGTCAGTGTAACTCATAAGAGTCTAAACCTCGTCCTGCAGAGTCCCGCGGAGCCGCGACTCCACAGGAGCCGAGACTCTGACCCCGCGGCGGGGCCCGGGCCGTGGATCTGTCCCGAGGCCCGCCTCTGGGGCCCGGAGCGCGGCTCGTGACGCTGGAGCGGCTCTGTTCTTGCGTGTGGGCGTCGCTGCGCTCGCGAGGACGGCTCACGAGTCTCATTGGTCGGTGAGAGTGACACGCACGCGGCTCGCGCCTTAAAAGCACGTCTCTGAGACGCACCCACGACATGACACGAAAGCTGGAGGCGGAGCAGGTCTGAGAGGAACACGCACCTCAGTCTGAACCGGACCGGAACTATCTGCCCGACTCCCGAGGAACGCCGGGGCCGCACGCGCCATCTGGAGCCGCTCTCGTGCTGAAGAGCGCACTTTTACGCACTGCGCAAACAGGAGTTTGCGTTGTTTCCGCAGCAGCAGGTGTCATCCCAGTGTTCCTCCGCTCGCGCGTGTCCGGACCGGAGATGATGGAGTGGCTCGTGCTGGCGCTCGTGCTCAGTGTGCCGCCCTCTGTCCGCGCGCTCTGCTCCGCTCAGTGTGAGAAGTGCGCACTGGTCACGAGGCCCGGAGCCGCGTTCAGCCTGGTAAGATCACACACGCGCGCGCGCACACACACACACACATACACACAGACGCGCGCACAGTGCGTGGACTGGTCCCGCGCACGGAACATGTGTTTGTAAAGTTTGACGCGAGCGTCAAATGCCGCACCTGTTACATCCGCACGCGCCCGCCTGTGTTACGCACGGGCACGCGGGCTGAGAGGAAACTGCGCGTGGAGTCAGACTTTCCCCGGAGCTCAGACTCTGAACAATCCATCACGAGCGCGCGGGCGAGATCACGTCATTACCTCTAATAAATGATGCGATCAAAATAACACCGCGCGTGCCCCGCACAGACGTCAACAGGTGCGAGATTCACAGACTCACGGACCCAGAGGAGACACAGACCCACGGACCCACAGACCCACGGACCCACAGACCCAGACTGGTCCTGTTCCTGTTACTTTTGTGACTTTCTCTCGGTCAAAACACAGATTTAAGTTCAATCAGACTCGGGACCAAATTTCACTCAATCTAAAACCTCGAGAAAATGCGTCGAAGTCTGAGTGATGTTTGTCACTTCTGTCTGTCTCCGCTCCTGCTCCTGTCTCTGCTCCTGTCTCTGCTCCTGTCTCTGCTCCTGTCTCTGCTTCTGTCTCTAACCCTGTCTCTGCTCCTGTCTCTGCTCCTGTCTCTGCTGTCTCTGCTGTCTCTCTGTCTCTCTGCTCCTCTGTCTCTGCTCTGCTCCTGTCTCTGTCCCTGTTCACTCCGGGCTGTCTCCGCTTCTGGGAAACCTCAGCTGTGTGTTTGTGTGTGTAGTTTGTGTGCAGTTTGTGTGCAGTTTGTGTGCAGTTTGTGTGTAGTTTGTGTGTGTAGTTTGTGTGCAGTTTGTGTGTGTAGTTTGTGTGCAGTTTGTGTGCAGTTTGTGTGCAGTTTGTGTGGCGCTCAGTCCGTGCGCGGCTTTTACTGGAGTTAATGATTAGCGCGTGTTTGTGTTTGTGCGCAGTGCAGCGCGCAGTGCGCGGAGCAGCTCAGTGACTGCGGACACACGGAGGACTGGAGCCGAGAGCAACGCGCCCTGGCGGACTGGAGCGAGGACGCGGCGGCGGCGGAGGAGGAGAGTCACGAGGCGCAGCTGGTGAAGCGCTACGGCGGATTCATCAAGAGGATCGACCGGAACAAGAACAAAGCGCTGCGTCCGTGGCGCGACAACGCGGTGCTGCAGGCGGCGGTGGAGCAGAAATATGAGGACTTGTTAAAGCGGCTGCAGAGGGACGCTGTCCTGGAGCAGGGCTCCCGGGAGCTCAGCAAACGCTACGGAGGATTCCTGCGGAAGTTTGGCCCCAAGACCCGGAGGAGCAGCTCCGCGGAGAGCGCGCAGGAGAGCGCGGAGCAGAGCGCGGAGCGGAGCCGGGAGGAGAGCTCCGAGGAGCCGGGAGAGCTCCAGAAGCGCTACGGGGGTTTTATGAGGAGGATTCGACCTAAACTCAACAACCTCCAATGGGACAAGCGCTACGGGGGCTTTCTGCGCCGCCACTTCAAGATCTCCGTGCGCTCCGCAGAGGAGCCGTACGCGCGGAGCCGGTAGAACCTGAACATTATTGGACTGATGTTCCCCGCTGTGCTTCAGCCTTTGTCCTGTCCTGTGTTCGTGACTCACGGCTGCACTCAATAAACGAGCTTCTTTCATACAACCGTGTCACTTTGTGCCGCACCGCACACACACAGATGCGCACACACGCACCACGCGCGCGCACACACACACACACACACACGCGCACAGAGGCGCGTGGAAACCTCCTGTGTCGTAAAGTAACTATGCGCTTCCACAGCGCGCACCTCGCGCTCTGAAACTGCATCGTTATTTCAGTTGCTCCACGGGCGTCTCCGCGCGCGCGCAGGGCGCAGAGCCAAACTTCGGTTTGACTCTTCAGCGGCACAAGCTCAAGAGACAAGAGTGTCCAATTAAAACATTAAACTAATTAAAAACAATCATAACGTTTTCAGTGTGGATCCTGGTTTTATTTATTTAGTAACGGAAGAAAAACCGTGGAGACGCGCGCGCGGCCAAAACACTGTGAAAATTTTCTGATGCGCAGAATCCGCTGAACACTGACAGTTTCTGCGTCAAGTCATTTAAAAAAGACGCGTGAGCTCGGGTCAGGGCCTCAGGTCCTACCTGCTCAGAGCGCGGGGCCTCAGGCTGCGGAGTCCGGCTTCTTTACGGCTGAATAAATGATCCACTGGCGCCCTCTAGTGGAGAGACCGCGGGGGAGCGCGAGTCTCTCCAGACTCATGCGCAGCTCTGAGGGACACGGGGCCAAAACTCTCAAACATATTATCATCATTACATCATAATAAACATCATAATAAACACAAAATGTGGGCTCTGTGCGTCTCTGTGCACCTCTGTGCGTCGTGTTTCCAGACGTCACTCTCCGGACACATCAGCCCTGATTTTATTTAAAGGAACAAAAACATCCAACAGCAGCAGCAGCACCTCAGCTCTGCAGAAACCTGACCTCCTGCTGTGACGGGAGCTGTGTGCCCCTGCCGTAGACGCCCCTGCCGTAGACGCCCTGCCGTAGACGCCCCTGCCGTAGACGCCCCTGCCGTAGACGCCCGCTGGAGGGTCTGTGGTGTGTTCGGTGATGTCATCAGCCTGTGCCGTCATGTATCTGTCTGCACTGACAATAAATATCTGCAATCCACCTATTTATAATTTATTTGACTTTCTGACATTTGTACAACAAACACACACACACACAAACACACACACACAAACACACACACCACATAAAGACACTTGTGAGCCAACTCAGGTTTAGTCCACATTATAAACCCTGGATTCCCTCCTGCTCCCCCTGCCTGTGGCTCCCTCTGTGGCTCCCTCTGCTGTCTGTGGCTCCCTCTGTGGCTCCCTCTGTGGCTCCCTCTGTGGCTCACTCTGTGGCTCACTCTGTGGCTCACTCTTGTGTGTGTAGATTGTCCTGTAGATGATTTCACATCAATCTGCCGAGGGACTGAAGATGGAGATGAGCCGCGCTGCTGTAAACTTTACATATTTACACTTGAAATGTTCATTAATCATCAGGATCATGAGCTGCTGTCACTTTACAAATCAAATCAATAAATAAGAAAAACATCAAGAGGATCAATAAACACAGTCCAGAAAGAAGCTTTAATGTAGGTAATAGAGTACACACACACACACACACACACACACACATACACACACACACATACACAAACAAAGAGACACACACACGTGCACCTATACACACACACACACACACACACACACACATTACACACATGTAAACTCAGACACACACGCACATACACACACTCAGACACACACACACACACACACACATGTAAACTCAGACACACACACACACACACACTCAGACACACACACACACACACACACACACACACACACACACAGTAAACTCAGACACACACACTCAGACACACACACTCAGACACACATGTGTGAGTCCGGTCAGTCTGTGGTGGACAGAGGTGGTTCCTCTGTGGCCTGCTCAGGGGCCTCCTCTTGAGCAGGGCTTTCTTGTGCCAGGTCCTGTGAGGGGCCCTCAGGTCCCTCAGGTCCCTCGGGTCCCTCGGGCTCGGGGCCCTCGGCGGTGGCGCCCGGGGCCTCTGTGGACAGAGCCTCCATAGTGGGGCCCTGCAGCGCGGTGGGCAGAGTGAGCAGCTGAAACTGCGGCCCCAGTACTTTGACCACGCCGTCCTGGAGCAGCGTGAGGTTGGAGGCGTCGGCGCTCAGGTCGCCGGCGGGCAGCGGCGAGGTGAGCAGAGTGTAGCCCCCCAGAGCCGAGCCGGCCTGGGCCCCCGCCACCGTCAGCACTTTGCCGAGAGGCAGTCCGCTCAGCTGGCTCAGAGGAAGGCTGATCTGCTGCGGCGACCCCCCCACGGCCGCCGGCCCCGACACCGCCCGGGTCAGACGGGGCCGTTTGGCGACCGGGGGCGAGGGCACCGGGGTCAGGGTCATCAGCACGTTGTTCAGATGCTGCGAGCGGCTCTTCAGCTCTTTGGCCCGCTTCCGATGCTCGTCACACTGCTGCTCCAGAGCTGTGGACACACACACACACACACACACACCAAACACACACAACACACACACACACACACACACACACACCGGGTTAATGACAGGATACAGCTGTGAGCACACGGAGCACAGACTCTGTCTACACTTCCACATATTAGATCTACAATTCTCCTCACATCACTTCCTCTGGACCAATCAGAGAAACACACACAGACGACATCCAAAAACACACACACAAACACAAAACACACACACAGACGACATCCAAAAACACAAAACACAAACACAAAACACACAACACAAACAGACAACATCCAAAAACACAAAACACAAACACAAACAGACGACATCCAAAAACACAAAACACAGGTCACGGTGTAAAAGACACAGTGCAAGGTTGTGAAAAGCGCTGGGCAGAGGTTGGGGGTTCGAGTCCCGCTGGTCTCCACAGGTGTTGTTGAGTTATTAGGGGTGGGACATTAATGCATTAATTATGATTAATTAATTACAAAGAAACAGTGCATTAAAAATATGAACCATTTTGTCACTTTTCCATTTCTCAGTGTGTGTAACTTTCTGTTCACTTTACAAGTTTAACCCTCGGAGACCTGAGCTGCTGTTTTTGACTTTTTTATGACCCGGTGAAGCTCGACCTCTTTTTTTTCTTCATCTGTGCAGAAAAGAGTTTCGTATCACAGACGCGGCTCGACCCGACGACACCATTAAAATGCAAAACCTGTGAGAGCGAGAACAGAAACACGACGCTCAGAAGGAAACGACTTCAGGTAAAATAACACTTGAACTTTAGTCTCTGCAGTTTTGGACACAGATTTTACCTTTGTCGACGATTTTGAAATAAAAAGCAATTAATTAATTATTTTTTCTAGATATTTTTCCAGACATTAAAAGAGCTCGAGTTTAAAAGTCGTGTCTGTGTGTTTTATTTGATGAAGTCGTCCACTAAAATTCATTTAGAAAAAATAAATGTTGCTTTTGGGGCAAATATTGTTCCAACTCTTTTTCACTGACAAAATTTCAAAACTTCTCCATGACTTTTTCATGACTAAAGTGAATTTTCCATGACTTTCCAGCACCTACATGTGTAAATTTGATCAGACTTTTAGTTCTAAATCTGAAATGTGAACTATTTCCACTCATCTTATGGTTTGGGATTATAGTTTTGAACATTCTAAATCCTTTCAGTGCATTTATTGTCGTCTCTTAAACAAAAGGTATCCAGGCCTCTGCTCAGATTCATTTCTCTCCAGTGACTAGATCAGGAATCAAAATACACTGGACGGTTTACAAAAACTCCGGAAGTGCGAGTTTGGGCACCGGCCAATCACAGAAGATTCAGATGTTCTGTGTTGGAAACGATTCCCCAGATCGAGGATTTAAAACCGGAACAAAGAGAATGTTTGGTGAATTTTATCTCGGGGAAAGACGTTATTGTTCTTCTTCCTATGGGATTTGGGAAAAGTTTAACATAGCAGTTATCCCCGTTAGCGATGCATTACATACGCCACGACCAAACAGCAGCGATTGGTTAAATAAAAAAAAAGTCCCCGTCTACCATCGAGTGAACGAATCCTAATGCTGCAGGTCACACGGTTTCTACGAATTGAAACCGTCTGATGAATCAGGCTAAACAAAAGACACAGACTTTCACAAATAATCAGAACAGCCTCATGAACTTAACAGAACACTGGAGCTGCGTGGAAGACATACTAAAATTCCATGACTTTTCCAGGATTTTCTTCACCGTGTTATGTGATTAATTGAGATAAATTAATTACAAAGCTGGTAATTAATAATGCATCAGTTTTATACAGCGCTTTTCTTTTCTGGACACTCAAAGACGTTTTACAGAGAATTATTCAGTCACTCCAGACCCGCTGGTGTAAACTACTACTGTAGCCACAGCTGCCCTGGGACAGACTGATGGAAGTGAGGCTGCCAATCTGCACCATCAGTCCCTCCGACCAACACCATCACCCACGCTCACGCCACTTTCATACTAGGCAATGTGGGTGAAGTGTCTTGCCTAAGGACACAACAACAGTTTTTATGACTGGTGCCTCCTGCGGCTCCTGATTTTCCCAGAGTCTCCATCCAAGTCCAGACCAGACCCGTCCTGCTGAGCTTCTGAGATCTGACGGAATCTGTGTGTCATTCGTTCATTTGTTTTTCAATATAAAACCAAAAATAAGAAAATGAATAAACAACTATTTTCTTCATTATTTGTCTCCAAAACCAAAATGAAAAAAACAGATAATGATTTGTTTTTTCAGTTTTCGAGTTTGTGTTTAAATGAAAAATGGAAAAAAACAGATAACGACCGTTTCCCGTTTACGTGACTCCGTGACTGTGATGCCGGAGTTTTGTGCCACATACAGACTGAACCAGGACTGATCCAAAACCAGGACCAGACCAGGACCAGAGCGGTCTGGTCCCCCTCTGGTCCTAGTCTGGTCTGGGTCTCAGTCCCGCTCTGGTCCCGGACGTGGATCAGTCCTGGTTCAGTCCGTATGCGGTGCAAAATTCCGGCATCACAGTCACGGAGTCACGTAAACGGGAAACGGTCGTTATCTGTTTTTTCCATTTTCCATTTAAACACAAAATTAAAAACTGAAAACACGAATCATTATCTGTTGTTTTCATTTTGGTTTTGAAGACAAATAATGAAGAAAATAGTTGTTTATTCATTTTCTTATTTTTGATTTTATATTGAAAAATGAATGAACAAATGACACACGGATTTGACGGGATCAGGATTATTAGATTTTTTTTTTTATCAAGTCCCACCCCTGTTCATTATATTAACACGACAGTTTCATTATTATTTTGAAGCCACATTGTGCAGCTTTTTATCAAAAAGACTAAAATGTGATTTCATTTTGGTTTGATGATTGTGCTAAAAAACAAAGCAATGACATCACGCCGGGGGTGCTCTACGTGCACCTCTGGCGGAACGATCAGCAGTTACCATGGAGACACACTCGATCAAACGCTGCCAGAAAAGTTTTCGACTCGTCTGATTAAAGCCGAGTCTGATTATGATTCTGGAGCGTGAGTCGGTCTAATGATGCGCGGAGGGTGGGGGGGGGGTCAGTGACAGGTGCGTCCCACAGCGCCCTCACCTGCCAGGCTGCGCGTGTACTGCTCCCGGTACCGGTCCATCTGGCTCTTGTGACTGGCCAGCACTTTCTTCACCAGGTCCAACATCCCAAAGTTCTGCACAATGTTATTCAGCAGCACAGCATCTGCACAGACACACAGACACGGGAGTTTGGTTAAAGGTTCGAGATCACACAGAACTAGGGCTGGGGATCATTAAGAAGCTGCCGATACGATACATATCTCGATACACAGGCCATGATACGATACATATCTCGATACAGTGCACTTTCGATTCGATATGATATATTTCAAATCGATTCGATACGGTTTAATAAAAAATAAAGTCTAAATCATGGCTGTGACGCTAAAAGTCTTTGTTAAACCACTTCTTGTGCAAAGTTCATATGAAACACAAACAATTTAATCATCAAAACAGTAAAAATGTCAAACAACAAAACTGTAGCACTGTAACAAAATAATTTAGTAAAACACACCTAAAAATCCTCTTAGTGATATATCGATACAGCAGCCCACGATATCGATACTGTATCATCACATTAAACGATATAATATATCGATATTCCGATATTTTTGCACACCCCTACACAGAACTGACTCTTTGAGCTTTAAGACGATTTATAATGTTGTTCCCTCATCAAAAAATGACCTGAAGTTAGGTTAGGTTAGGTCCAGTCGCTTTATTCGTACCCGTAGGTAAATTTGCTTTGCAGATTTGAGAGGCAGGTTCCACATTTCACATATCCACAAAACAAACAAACTAAATAAAGTGTTACAGATGCTCCAGTGCAGAATGGTTTGTTCCATAAACAACCAATTAAAATCATCCATCACGCTTGGCTAAAATCACAATAAATATTAAATATGTTAAAAACACACAATCTTAGATAAATAAATTACAATTTATTCATAAGTGCGACAGCAGCCGGAACGAAGCTCCTTTTAAAACAATTCGTTCTAGATCTTGGGACTAAAAAACTCTGACCAGAGGGAAGCAGCTGAAACTCTGAGTTTAGTGGATGTTGCTCGTCTCTTATAATCCTCTGGGATATTCTCTGTAACTGTCCTGAGTCCAGAGAGTCCAGAGACTCTGAGGATGAACAATCACCAAACTCGCCCATTTAACCGACTGATTCAGGGAGTTTGTGTTTTTAGCAGAAATGCTCCAAACCACGAGACCAAAGAAAACGTTAAAACTGATTCCATAAATGTTTTATAAAACAGTGTCATCATGGTTCTGTCTACGTCTACATGGTAAAAGTTGTGTTTGTTTCATTCACATGTTTGAGTAACACTTTACAGGCGAGTTTCAGCTGACGTCATTGTTATTAAAAGTCCGCGTTGCTGCTGGGAAATATTTTGGTCGGAGGCAAGAAACACGGTAGCGTCAAACACAGTGAGTAACCTCGCGTATTTATCCCCGATAATGTTAAATTCCTGCTGCATTATCGGATGCACAAACAGAAGCACGGAAGAAGGAAAATGTCTTTTTCATATTCTGAGTGAAAAGAACCACTAACGGTGAATTAAACGACTTTCAAACATCCGCAGAGCAAACGTAGAAGATCCTAACAAACCGTGGACTCCAACAAGTTCAACAACACATCCAGACTCTTGGAGGACTGAAATAATCCAAATGATTGTAGTGAAAGTGTTTGGAGTTTAAAAACACAGTGGAGCACTTCCTTCCCGTATTACCACATGATGACATCACAATGTGGAACAGAGCTCATTTCCACAGACTCATATCTTCTATCAAATAAGGCTCCAACTAAAGAAGAGAAAGAAACGACTGGAAACACTGAAATCTTTGTATTAAATTGTGTTAAATATAAAAAGTTTAACACTTTTATCACAGGCTGCAGTGTGAATTTCCTTTTATAATCTAGTGATATTTTATTTATACAGCACCTTTCTAAACAAAGTTACAACGTTTTCTACACTTGGAAACTGAAATGAAAATGATAACGATAAAATCAAATATTAAATCCAAACTATTCAATCATCTAATGTAGGTTTTCTGTCGCAAATTTAACACACACACGTCAATGTTTAACTGGTCAAAACAGAAAATAAAACCACAACACTTTCGAAACGTGACTTGTTACTCCACTTCTGCCTCGAGAGATGAAAACTTTAAAATAAAAAAAGTAAACTCTGACAGAGAGTCTCCTTCACACGCTCTGAGGTCTGAGGGCTCCAACTCGTCTCAAAAGCCGAGGTGACTCTGGGGTGACCCTGGGGTGACCCTGAGGGGTGACTCTGGGGTGACCCTGGGGTGACCCTGGGGTGACCCTGGGTGCTCTGGGGTGACCCTGACTCTGGGGTGACCCTGGGGTGACTCTGGGGTGGGGGTGACTCTGGGGTGACTCTGGGGTGACCCTGGGGTGGGGTGACTCTGGGGTGACCCTGACTCTGGGGGGACTGGGGTGACTCTGGGGACTGACCTGGGGTGGGGTGACTGACTGACTGGGGTGGGGTGACCCTGGGTGACCCCAAAACTCTGGGTGACTGGGGTGAAACTCTGCCGGGTGACCTGGGGTGACACCTGACTCAGAGGGCTCTCCTGGGGTGACACCGTGACTGACTTGCTGGGGTGACTTGAAGTGACTCGTTTAAAAACAAATTTTTACTCTCCGGCTTTTAACACAGCGTAAGAATCATGTGCTCCTCTGACTGTCTTTTATTGATTTTATTTGCAAATTTTAGTATCTTTTTTGTTTTTACTCACTTGATTATTTATTTATTTTATTTAACATGTACATTTATATTGTGCTACTCTGTGCAGCACTTTGGAGACTTTGTGTTGATAAAATGTGTTATACAAATAAAATTGGATTGGATCCTTTAAATAATTCACCTAAAAAGCGTGGGATGTTGGATTTTGAATGTTTGTAAATGTGTTTCAGAAACAGTTCTATCCCCCACACAACCTGGAGTCAGTCTCACACTCGGGTCTCTTCAGTCAACACGACACGTCTGTGAGATGTGTGTTTGAAGAGTCGTCCTTCAAACACAGCACACGAGGTGGAAAAGCTCCTCGTCTCCGTCACAGATCTGCATCATCGCGCAGGACAGCGGCCTGTTTACTTTTGCACTGGAGCGAGTCTGCTCCGTCTCACCGGGAGGTTTCCGGTCACAATCATCACGCTGGAATTGTTTAGAGCAAACTGATGTCACAGAGGAGCACGGCGCAGGGGCAGGTCTGTTCTGGGAAAATGTGAAAGCTTTCCACAAACGTCTCACCAGGCAACAGAGCGGGGGTTCCCAAAGTGTGGTGCCAGACGCAGACGCAGCTCCAGGCCAAACACAAAGTCTATACTATACTATACTCTATTATACTATTCTATTCTATACTACACTATACTTGCCACGTTTACATGAGAGCGTTACTTCCAAATAAAAATAATTTAATTCTGAATAAAAATTTATTCTGCTTTAAAAAGTCCATGTAAACACTTGAAGTTTGTGTTTTCCTCCGGTCGACGTAAATCTGTTGGTGTTTCTGTCCAATCAAAAACTTCCCCACACCCAGACGCTCAGACGTATTAAATAAAAAACATTTAACAACAATTCAGAAACTCCAAGGAGAATATTTTAATTTCAAATATTTTAAATCAGAATAATTAATTTGGAAATAAAAAAATCACGTAAACATGGCCACAGTTTCATTAAGTTTTATTATTTATCCTGTTCTCAACAGTTGTGATCTAAAACCTGCCGTGGGCGCCGCTCTGTTTGTTTATTTGTTGCTCTGTTTCATCCTTTGGTCAATTCTCACGCTGACTTTTAGCGCCCTCTGGTGGAGGTTTGAAACTCTTCAAGATCTATTTTAGTACATTTGTCCTCGCCTGGATTTCTTTCTTAAATTTGCGTTTAAATCTCCCCCTTTCATTGCCTAATGAAGTGTTATACATCCTTTTTTTCCACTACAACCTGTAATTTCACATCTGCTGCTGTAGTTGTGTCATGTGGCTGTAATAAAAACTACAGGACCAGAAATACACATGAAAAAAAAAAAAATAAATAAATAAAATTCACACTCTTTCATAGAAAACACACAGCAAACAAGTATAAACATTAAAAAATGCTTAATTTAGGGCCTTAGCTACAAAAGGTCAAGATATCAAGTCTGTAAGTAAAACTAAAAATCTCCTTATTGCCTCAAAACAAAAAAAGTGCAAAGGTCCACATGACTTGACTGGTGCAGGTCATGGAAACAGCTGGAGTCAGGTCCAGGTCACAGAGCCACATCACTTCCTGCATTTCTATGAGGTTTATTACATTTGGATTTGAACATTTGGACTCAAACAAACCTGAAAATAAAAATAGTAACAGATGTGCAAGATGCGTAACTTGCCATTTATTTGAGAAATATCTGCACTTAGAGCGACTTTTTCAATTGTTACAAACACAGACGCTCAGAGCATCGACCATTTTGACTCACTACACTCTTTGACAAAGTTTGGCCTAATCAAAATGGACGGAGCGCATGAGTTTGTTGGAAAACAAAACCTATTGGACACTCGTTTTCTCTACATCATCAGGCAGCGTTGTGATGTAGGATAATGCCGGAAATCTGCTCGGAAATCTGCTTTTCTCCGCTTTTTATGGTTGGAAAGTTATGCATGATTATGTAAAACATATTCTGCTGGTCTAGAAGGTTTGACAGAAAACAGCTTTGACATTAGAAATGTTTGGAAGTATAAATGCAGCGATCTGTTTACGGACGAAAGTGGAGAAGAAATGAGCCTTTAATGGGCTTCAAACTAAAACATGTTCCTGTCCAACCAACCCTGACCACAAGGGAACAAGAGGATCAAGAGTGAGGCTCAGGTGTTGTTTTTGTTGTTTTTGTTTTTGTTGTTGGTGTTTTTGTTGTTGTAGTCTGACCTTTGACCTGCAGCGGAGGGTCGTTGGCTCTTTCCTCCAGCCCCTTCAGAACGTCCTGGAGCTCCTTCTCAAAGTCCTGGACCACCTCGTCCAGCATCCCCGCCTCCTTCACCGCTTTCCAGAAGGTCACCGAGTCCTCTGCAAAACAACACAGAAGTCAGCATCAAGAACTTCAAAACGGGGTCCCCCAAAAGTCCTACGAGAGTCCACCAACCAAGAGTCCACTAACCAAAACTCCCCCAGCCAAGAGTGCACCAAGAGTCCACCAAGAGTCCACCATGAGTCCACCAAGAGTCCACCAAGAGTCCACCAAGAGTCCACCATGAGTCCACCATGAGTCCACCAAGAGTCCACCAAGAGTCCACCATGAGTCCACCAAGAGTCCACCATGAGTCCACCAAGAGTCCACCATGAGTCCACCATGAGTCCACCAAGAGTCCACCAAGAGTCCACCAAGAGTCCACCAAGAGTCCAAGAGTCCACCATGAGTCCACCATGAGTCCACCAAGAGTCCACCAAGAGTCCACCAAGAGTCCACCAAGAGTCCACCATGAGTCCACCATGAGTCCACCAAGAGTCCACCAAGAGTCCACCATGAGTCCACCAAGAGTCCACCAGAGTCCACCAAGAGTCCACCAAGAGTCCACCATGAGTCCACCATGAGTCCACCAGAGTCCACCATGAGTCCACCAAGAGTCCACCAAGAGTCCACCAAGAGTCAACCAAGAGTCCACCAAGAGTCCGAGTCCATGAGTCCACCAGAGTCCACCAAGAGTCCACAAGAGTCCCAGAGTCCACCAAGACCAGAGTCCACCAAGAGTCCACCAAGAGTCCACCATGAGTCCACCATGAGTCCACCAGAGTCCAAGAGTCCACCAAGAGTCCACCAAGAGTCCGCCATGAGTCCACCAAGAATCCTAGAAGAGTCCACTAACCAAAAGTCCCCCAGCCAAGAGTGCACCAAGAGTCCACCATGAGTCCTAAAAGAGTCCACCAAGAGTCCACCAAGAGTCCGCTATGAGTCCGCCATGAGTCCACCAAGAGTCCACCAAGAGTCCGCTATGAGTCCGCCATGAGTCCGCCATGAGTCCGCCATGAGTCCACCAAGAGTCCTAGAAGAGTCCACCAAAAGTCCACTAACCAAGAGTCTGACAAGAGTACCCAAGGAGTCCCCTAAGAGTCCCTGAGGAGGCCCCCAAAAGTGCACCAAGAGTCCTACAAGAGTCTCCCAGGAGTCCACCAAGTGTCCCCCAGGTGTCCACAATGAGTCACCCAAGAATCCACCAAGAGTTCCCCAAGAATCCAAGAGTCCCCCAACCAAGAGTCCCTCAAGAGTCCCCAAGAGTCCCCACGTAGTCCCCCAAGAGTCCACCACGAGTCCACCAAGAGTCCCCCAAGAGTCCCTCATGAGTCCAGAGTTCAGCCTTACCCCCAATGGCGGTGACCCACTCTGAGGCTTCGTCTGGGGACTCTGAGAAGGACAGAGTCATTCCGTTCACTAAACACAGACGAGGGCAGAATTAGAGCGGGGCAGATTTTCACTTTTACAGTTTTACAGTTTTAAATCAGTGAACTATAATTATAACTAAGGCTGTGTCCGAATGTCCACACTATCTCCAGCAGGGGGATCAGATATGTATCAGTTTTAGACTTTAGCCTGATGTGACCCAAAGCCGATCTGATCTTTTAATGACAGTCTGAACCACACAGATCTGTTTTTTTCAAATGTGACCCAGGACACTTGGATCTGTGCTCCTAAAACCCAAACAGATCTGATCTTTTGACTTGTGACTTTAGTCTGAACGGGCAGGTCACATTCATCCACCGACACGTCAAACTCAGAGTCTCGTCACTGGAGGGAAAGTGAGGTTAGAGAGTTTATTCATATTTGTGGGGATCGATGTGTTCAGGACAAATATCTGGGTTTCACGTGACGTCACAGGGCTTCGTTTGTCAGCGCGCAAAATCAGATGGAGGGCAGGAAGTGAACTGACTGGAGGAAAATGCCGATGTGTTGTGTAGTTTACGGCTGTGCCAATCGTTCTAACCGAGAGAAGGAAAAGAGATTTTTTTAGAGAACCGAATATAGTCGTCCACAAAGGTCAGAAATGGGAAAAGCTGACAGAACAACGCTGTAAAAAGTGGATTACAAACCTGTTTGCGGTCGGGAGGAGCAGAATTCACTAATGCTCGTGTCTGCAGTGACACTTCAACAAAGGTTTGTTACAAAGATAAACTGTTTTTTGTGGTTTACCTAAACATAAACGAATCATTAACGACTAACGACGTTTGTTGACATTAAATAGTTCAGATCGAGGTCACTGCCGATACACTGCAGTTTTTCCCATAACGTCGATACGCATAAAATAAGAGAAACACTCACCCCGGCCAAGACCAAAACATAATGATCATTTAGGCGTTTTGCACCGAGGTTGAGGATCCATCCACTGACAAAAAAAGTTCTATGCCTCCAAACTTTTGTACATCTTCATCTGTTGTCTGGTGTAGAACGATGTCTGAAGAGCTCAATAGTTCGTGATCTCCTCTGCCTCGATTGTCGGCAAATCTTTTACTTCGGCTGAAAATTCTCTCATTTTCAATAAGATCAGGGTCACGCCCGATATATTTGTCGACTAACTGCTCGTACTTTTGCCTCGCTCCTGGCTCTAAATCCTGACAATAAGAACTCTTCTCCATATCTGTGTTCTCCAGAGCCGTGTTTGTTTGTCGTGTTTGTCTTCAGTTTCTGCCCTCCACCTGAAATTCGCGCATCATCGTGATCACGTGACTGAAACCCTCCTATTGGAGGAGTCTTATCTGAACCGGACGGTTTTTAAAATGATCGCCGAAGAAATGTCCGAGCGCGGCTACAGACGTCCTGGCTCCAATGTCAATGAAAAATAAAAAGCTTGCAACACAAATACAAGGAAACTATAAACTCAAACAAACTGGACTGGATTTTGGGAGACAAGCCCAGATTTTAGGAGACTTCCATAAACACTGAGCCCACTCGCTGTGTGTGACGTCGTCGTGTCCTCTGATGCTCATGGGGGACACTTTTGGGACATTTAAGGAGATCACACACAAGTCACATTTAACTGGAAATGTAAACGACCTAGCAAAAAAAAATCTGATTTAAAAAAAAAACACAAATTGAGCATTAAGCATGTGACATGTGACTTCAGTGTGAACGGCCAAAGTGCATTCATCCATCTACACGACACAAACGTCACTATTCTGCGCTGAAGTAGGAGAAAATTGTTAATAAACTCCGTGTGACTGAAGTGAAGCACATCTCCACTCACCACAAAACACCACGACCAAAAACCTCGTCCTTCTCCTTCTCAATCTCCTCCTTAAAACAAGTCAGTTGTTCATGTTCTGGCTCCGGTACGAGAGGAACTTTAAAATCTCCAGGTGCTCGATGCTGCGTCCATGTTTGGACAACTTGTGTAAACACAGAGACGCTCGCTGCGGTTGACGTCGTCGTGTCTCCAGTGTCACATGTGGGACACTTTTGGACCGTTTAATGTTCACACTGGAGTCACATACAAGTCACATTTAACTGGAAATGTGAACGACCTCGAAAAAACATCGGATTTCACAAAAAAATTGGAATTGAGTCAATGAGATTCATTCGGTCTTCCAGTATTCTATGTTATTAGGTTCTTTTTTTCAGACCTGGAGTGTTATTTCATACCTGACAGTTTCGACCTGTAGGAAGACGGCGCCAAAACCTGTTTAAATCATCTGACCAGACACGTCACAGAAACATCACGTGACTCTGAGGAAGACGCTAGTGAACAGTCCAAACTGTCAGGTATGAAATAACACTCCAGGTCTGAAAAAAATAACCTAATAACATAGAATCTGAATTGAGCGTTAAGCCCTGCAGTCTGAACGTCGCCTATTTGTGCGTCCGATAATGCAGCAGGAATTTACCATTATCGGGGATAAATACGCGAGGTTACTCACTGTGTTTGACGCTACCGTGTTTCTTGCCTCCGACCAAAATATTTCCCAGCAGCAACGCGGGCTTTTAATAACAATGACGTCAGCTGAAACTCGCCTATAGAGTGAACGAGGGGTGAGGGGCTGGGGGAGACATTCGGACACAGACTAACAGTAATCGTCAATGAATTAAGTTTATAGTTTAACCAAAAAAAGAGTTAGTGATGGTGAAAGTTTGGCGCGTACAGTCCGGGGCCGGGGTGGTGGCGGTGGACAGCAGCTCCGAGGCCCCGTCCACACTCAGGGACACTTTGGCCCCCACCAGGTCGATCTTGGTACTGCGGCAGGTGTTGGAGCAGACTTTGGAGTGTTGGTAAAAGTCCAGCTCTCCGGAGTCCATGATCTTCCTGCGGGACGCGAAGCAAAAAGGTGATTCAGCTGGACTAAGTTTGTTTTTATCGTGAATATGTCTGTGTAAGTGGTTTCTTCAGTTCTGACCAAACCTCAGGTACGAGCAGCGTAAAATACCAAATAATATCCGGGTTTCATTTATCCGCCGGGTCTACTGGAAACACCGGGACTAAACCAGGACTAAACCAGGACTAAAACAGGATTTAACCAAGGACTAAAACCAGGACTAACCCAGGATTTAACCAGGATTTCATCAGGACTAAACCAGGACTAAAACCAGGACTAAGCCAGAACTAAGCCAGGACTAAACCAGGACTAAAACCAGGACTGAACAAGGACTAAACCAGGACTAAACCAGGACTAAAACCAGGACTGAACAAGGACTAAACCAGGACTAAACAAGGACTAAAGCCAGGACTAAACTTGAACTAAACAAGAACTAAAACCAGGTCTAATCCAGGACTAAAACCAGGACTAAACCAGGTCTAAACCGGCACTAAAACAGGATTTAACCAGGACTAAACCAGGTCTAAACCGGCACTAAAACAGGATTTAACCAGGACTAAACTAGAACTAAAATTAGAACTAAACAAGAACTAAAACCAGGACTAAAACACGATTTCATCAGGACTAAACCAGGAATAAACCAGGTGTGAAACCAGCACTAAAGCAGAACTAAACCAGGACTAAACCAAGTGCAGGTGTATATTTTCATAAATAAATCACTGGTTCCAAATAAACGCCGAGTCTAATGTATTTAAAAAAAAAAATAAATAAATAAAAAAATCAAGGAAGAAAACGTGAGCACTGACGCTGCACGTTTTTCTTTTTCACTTTGCAGCCCCTGATTTTCTTTGTTTTGTTTGAGTCTGAAGTTGGAGCTGTAAATAACAGATTAAACCTTAAACTCCCATTTCTGTTCAGAGAAGGACAGTGTGAGCGATAAAGTGCTCTGACACAGAGTCTGGACAGAACGATCGTGCGGTTTGGGATTGGTCATTGTCTTTATCGTCGTCTTCGTCTTTATCGTCGTGGTTACAGCGGCGTTACCTGAGCATGGTGCCGTTGAGGCGGATGGCTCTTTTCCAGTCCTTCAGAGTCGACTTCCCCGCTAAACACACAAACTCTTTAGGACTGATGAGCTGAGAGTTGAACTGAAAGACAAAAAGAACAGAATGAGACTCAGAGGAGGCTAACAACAGAGCAGAGAAGAAGAGCAGAGGAGCAGAGGAGCAGAAGAGCAGAGGAGCAGAGGAGTAGAGAAGCAGAGGAGTAGAGAAGAGCAGAGGAGCAGAGGAGCAGAGGAGCAGAGGAGCAGAAGAGCAGAGGAGCAGAGGAGCAGAGGAGCAGAGGAGCAGAGGAGCAGAGGAGCAGAGGTCCAGAGAAGCAGAGGAACAGAGGAGCAGAGGAACAGAGGAGCAGAGGAACAGAAGAGCAGAGGAGCAGAGGTCCAGAGGAAGCAGAGGAACAGAGGAGCAGAGGAACAGAGGAGCAGAGGAACAGAGGAGAGGAGCAGAGGAACAGAGGAGCAGAGGTCCAGAGGAGCAGAAGAGCAGAGGAGCAGAGGTCCAGAGGAGCAGAGGAGCAGAGGAACAGAGGAGCAGAGGAGCAGAAGAGCAGAGGAGCAGAGGAGCAGAGGTCCAGAGGAGCAGAGGAGCAGAAGAGCAGAGGAGCAGAGGAGCAGAGGAGCAGAGGAACAGAGGAGCAGAGGAGCAGAGGAGCAGAGGAGCAGAGGAGCAGAGGAGCAGAGGAACAGAGGAGCAGAGGAGCAGAGGAGCAGAGGAGCAGAGGAGCAGAGGAGCAGAGGAGCAGAGGAGCAGAGGAGAGAGCAGAGGAACAGAGGAACAGAGGAGACAGAGGAGAGCAGAGGAGGAACAGAGGAGCAGAGGAGCAGAGGAGCAGAGGAGCAGAGGAGCAGAGGAGAGAGCAGAGGAAGCAGAGGAGCAGAGGAGCAGAGGAGCAGAGGAGCAGCAGAGGAGCAGCAGAGGAGCAGAGAGCAGAGGAGCAGAGGAGCAGCAGAGGAGCAGAGGAGCAGAGGAGCAGAGGAGCAGAGGAGCAGAGGTGAACAGAGGAGCAGCAGAGGAGCAGAGGAGCAGAGGAGCAGAGGAGCAGAGGTCCAGAGTTGTACCTGCACACACTTCACATTGATCCCAGGACACACAAACTTCTTCCAGATCAGAGTGGCTTTGGCGTCTCCGCACGTGATGGAGTAGAAGACGTCTGCCTCTGTGTCCACCTCCTCCGACAGTTTCACTACAGAAGAAGAAAGAGCTCAGTCAGCCTCAAACATCACACTGAGATGTTGTGAAGAGCTGTGCAGGCCGAGAGGAGCACCACGGTCTCCAACACAACCTCTACTTCAGAATCAGGGTTTTCTTTTCACAGCTCTTTTGAGTTTAGACGTTAATTTTAATCTACAAAATAAAATTATAACTGAAATGTCTTTTTTTGATACTGTTTAAATGTTTTTTGGTCATGTTTGTCATTGAAGTGACCATATTTAGATCAGACAATCCACACTGTCCAGCTCCTGGGCCACATCCGGCTCTTTTGTCGACTCTGATCGTCCCGTTTAAGCTCATTTGGATTTACAAAATAAACATATTTTATCATTTTACCTCATGCTTGGACTAAAGCTGCATTGCTTTTGTTTTAGATGTGTTTTTTTTATTACATTTTATGTCTGGCAGCTTCACTTTTTCATTGTTTAGTCAGGACTAGTGACGGGCATTCGATGAAATGTTCTTAATCGATCGTCGGAAGAATTAACGATCGATTATCGATTAATCATTAACGTTTTTATATTAAAATGATCATCATTATTATTACTATCTGCACTAATCTGCATAAATAAACTCAACTTTACGACATATAAACATAACGACTCTAGATCCACATCAGCTGTTTGACATTATAATGTGTTTAATTCAGTTTTGTTCAAATCTCACAGAAACAAAACTTAAAACCACATCACTAATTTACATAAACTAAGTGAAGATAAAACTCCAGCTCTTGTGTCGCTGATGTGGTTCAACTTGTGTTGGATTAAAAGACATGACTCAGGTGAATACAGGTCAGTGTGACCAGATTTGTGTTTGTCAAAACCAGGACAGCGTACGGGGGGAGGGGGGCGGGGCCTCGTCATCCACATTGAGCGAACTTTTTCCCACTGGACACAGAAACATATGTGCTGCTTTATACACTGTGCACATGGACTCACACTTGTCCCAACGCAACGGAAAGTGTGGAATTTCTTCTACAAATCCTGGTTAAATCCACATTTGTGCTTCGGTTCGTTACAGACTGACCCACTGTTTGTGTCTCGCTCCTTCTGATGCAGAGACACATGTACACACCTGTTTGGTCCACGACACACAAACATACATTCAGTTTGTCCATTAAAATGAACGTAATCAATGAAATTCTTAATGATCAATTATCGATTAATCGACTAATCGTGCCCATCCCTAATCAGAACAATAAGATTTACTGCTTTTTATAAAGAAACACAATTAATATTCTGCAGAATTGAGTTAAACATTTTAGCCTCCACAATATTTCCTGTTTCTCATGTGGCCCCATGGAAAAAATAATAGCCCAAACCTGATTTAGAGTCACCAAAAGTCATTGTTATGAATCTAAACTGCTGTGTGTGACGGAGTGTGCAGTGCTGACCGATGACCGCCTCTTTGGACAGAGCGTCTGCAGCAGAGGTCTCAGCCTGGGCCTCCTCTGGGGTCCCCACGGACATCTCTTCACTGGAGGAAATAAAACACACGGCGAATAAAAAACTGACCACACAAACCTTTCGAAAGTTTAAACTCTGCAGACGTCCTGAAGGAAAACCTTTGTTTGGAGGCGAGTTGCGCAGAGACCAGCACGGCCTTCTCCTCGTCCTCCTCCTCGGGCACTTCCCTCACCGTCTCCGGGAGAACGATCACCACCTCCCCCACCCCGGACATGTTCACCTCCGAGGCCATCAGGGCAGGTGCATCCTGCCACAGCGACAGGGACAAGGCAGAGTTAAGACTGGCGCCATAAATACAAAATCCACTTATCGTTCAGTAAATGAAAGATGGAACAATCATTTTTAAAATTTCCTCAATAATTCTGTGTGGGGACTTTTCTTTGAACAAATGCTGTTTGTTAGTTTATTTATTTATTTGTATAATTTTTTTATTATTATTTTATTTAGTTCGTTAGTTTTTTATTTATTTTATTTATTTAGTTTAATTAGTTTGTTTTTTAAAATTTAGTTAGTTTTTATTTATTTAGTTTAATTAGTTAGTTTTTTATTTATTTTTATTTTATTTGATTTATTTACTTATTTAGTTAGTTAGTTAGTTTAATTAGTTAGTTACGTTTTTATTTATTTATATTTTATTTATTCATTTTTATTTTATTTATTTATCTATTTATCTACTATTTATTTATTTATTTAGTTAGTTATTAAATTTGAGCTGCTCAGTGTGGAAAAAATAACTTTGAATTGAAATTAACTGTTAAACTGCCTCATTCTTCTGTTTATTTATTTTATTTATTTATTTACTTATTTAGTTAGTTTAATTAGTTAGTTAGTTTTTTAATTTATTTATTTATATTTTATTTATTTATTTAGTTTTTTTTATTAATTTTTATTTTATTTATCTATTTATCTACTTATTTATTTAGTTAGTTAGTTATTAGATCTGAGCTGCTCAGTGTGGAAAAAATAACTCTGAATTGAAATTAACTATTAAACTGTCTCATTCTTCTGTTTAATTACTGCAGCTCATGTTTTTATAACAGTGTTGTTGAGAATCGTGTTTGGGGATGATCCTGCTGATCCTGAACAGTGACATAAACATAGTTCCAATATCATGTTTAGTTATTTCATCATATTATCTGTATTTTCTTGAGCAATATTTCATATTTCTGAACATGTTATCGTGACAGGCAAAGGCAAAGTCAAACACTTTCATTTAGAGAAATACAAATTAAATAAAATTATTACAGTGTTATTACAGAAACCCAAAGAAAAGAACATTACATTTCAATTTAAACGTTAACCAGGGTGAGCAGATTTTCAAAATTCTAAACTGGAACACACCCGGGCTAGGATGTTTGCTGTAAACACAAAAGATTCTTGGGTCAGTCATGATTTGAGGGATTTCTGACATTGCGTTTTTTTAAATTTTTTTTTTATTTTATGGTCATTTGCAAACACGGTTTTCTGTATTTTGGTAAAACAAATGACAATTTATGCTCCTCTTTACTGTTGGCATGGATCAGATCAAAAATTGTGATAAACCTGGTTTAGACCTGATGTAGTTCTGGTTTAGTCTTAGTTTAGTCCTGATGTAGTCCTGGTTTGGTCCTGATGTAGTTCTGGTTTGGTCCTGATGTAGTTCTGGTTTAGTCTTAGTTTAGTCCTGGTTTAGACCTGGTTTAGTCCTGGTTTAGACCTGGTTTTAGTCCTGGTTTAGTCTTAGTTTAGTTATGGTTTAGTCTTAGTTCAGTCCTGGTTTAGTCTTAGTTCAGTCCTGGTTAAGTCTTAGTTTAGCCCTGGTTTAGTCTTAGTTTAGTCCTGGTTTAGTCTTAGTTTAGTCCTGATTTAGTCCTGGTTTAGACCTGGTTTAGTCCTGGTTTAGTCATAGTTTAGTCCTGGTTTAGACCTGGTTTTAGTCCTGGTTTAGTCTTAGTTTAGTCCTGGTTTAGTCTTAGTTCAGTCCTGGTTTAGTCTTAGTTTAGTCTTGATTTAGTGCTTGTTTAGTCTTAGTTTAGTCCTGGTTTATTCTTAGTTTAGTCCTGGTTTAGTCTCAGTTTAATCCTGATTTAGTCTTAGTTTAGTCCTGATTTAGTGCTGGTTTAGTCTTAGTTTAGTCCAGGTTTATTCTTAGTTTAGTCCTGGTTTAGTCTTAGTTTAGTCCTGGTTTAGTCTTAGATTAGTCCTGATTTAGTCCTGGCTTAATCTTAGTTTAGTCCTGGTTTAGACCTGATATAATCCTTGTTTAGTCTTAGTTTAGACCTGGTTTAATACACATTATTATTATTATTATTATTACATTGTTATTATAAAAATCCACAGAATAGAACTTAGTACTTTTCGTTTAAATTAACCCGGATCACTGTCTTTTTACACAGTCTGTACTTTTACCTTTTACTTGACACAAAACACAACATAAATATAAATAAACACGAATAAAAACAGAGATTACCCCGGGCTCGTACCTCCTTTAACACGGACCAGAGGATGATGGAGGAGAATCTCTTCTTTACCCGTTATTTACTCATTTATTTACTCCGTGAGCTGTTTGAGTCACGCCACCATTAACTCTGCTCCGTCCGTTTAATGATGAACTTAAAGATGTGTGAATATTTCAGGTTTTATTTTCCGGTGATGAAGAATTACGCGCGTCTTTTGGGGCTCGATGCTAACTATGCTAACGGTGCTAACAAACAGCGCTTCTTCTTCTTCTTTGTGTTTTCAGTCCCACACGCGCGCGCGCTCAGATACACCGCCCCCTCTGGTCAGAACGCGGCACTACAACTGTCCAAACGAACCGACGTCAACATCAACAAACGCGACAATTCAGAGAGAAAAAGCGACTTGTTTTGATACACTTTTTACTATTTCGATGTTGTTATTTATTTCATTACGCACGTTTTACTGTACACTCGATTTTACGCAGAGAAGTTGTAACTTAGAGTAAGCAGACGTCGCTATTTCCCCGGGACAGTCAAAGTTTTGTCACAGTACCAGCAGATTTATCCAAAACCAGTGATTTGTCCCAGTTTTATATAAGACATATTCTAGGTGTCCCTATTTTTGACTAACCTGATACATAAATTACATAAATAATTTGATTTGTTTCAGTAAAATACAGAAAATCTGCAAAACACAAAGAAAATGTGACTGTACTGACTTACGTGAAGTCATGAATGGTCTCTGAATAATTTCAATCAAGAACAAAAAAAACAAACAAACAATAAAACTGATAAAACAGTATATTATTATTATTATTATTTTTTTTTTGATTAGTGAAAGAAACTTCATATTAAATATTGGAAATAAAGGTCGAAATCTGTTTTTTGGTTTTTATTTTTTATTTGTTTGTTTTGTTTGGTTGGTTGTTTTTTTGTTTTGTTTGACAACAAAGCAAAAAAAAAAATCACTTAATTGTTTTTCGTTCTTAATTGAAATTCAAAATAACTAATTGTACACAGACCTTAATTACGCGCTCGTTTCACATTTTTTTATTAAAACAAAACACCAGTTTGTCCCAGTTTTTATTTTGAAAATCTGGTCCTCCTAAAGTAGTAGAAGAAGACAGAGAAGGACGCATGCGCAGATCGAGTCGTTCGGTGTTTGTGTTGAACATTTGTTGTGTAGATTTCCAGATTTGCACAGATTTGTTTGATCAGAAGAACACGTGGATCTATGAAAGAAGAAAAAGAAACACTGCGGGTTATTTCAGCAGCACGTGCACGAGGAGCGCGCGGGTAAATGGCGGGCGGCGCGTGGGCTGAGCGCGTGCTCCAACTCCTGAGGCGCATGAACGGATTCTGGTCTCCAGGTGAGCTCCTGACAGGTGAGCTCCTGACAGGTGAGCTCCTGACAGGTGAGCTCCTGACAGGTGAGCTCCTGACAGGTGAGCTCCTGACAGGTGAGCTCCTGACAGGTGAGCTCCTGACAGGTGAGCTCCTGACAGTGTGCAGGAGCTCTCTGCAGGTGAGTCTGTGTCCTCTGTTCCTGCAGATTTATACAAAACCACTGATTTGTTCCAGTTTTATACAAGAAATGTCCCAGGTGTTTCTGTTTTTGACTAATTTGATCAAAACACACAGATGCACTGACCCCATGTTCCTGTCCCTCTGTCCTGATCTCCTTCCATCACCTGTTATCAGTATTTAATACAACTTAATTACACTGTAATAATTAACACTGTGTGATATTTAACACTGTGTGATATTTAACACTGTGTGATATTTAACAGTGTGATATTTAACACTGTGATATTTAACACTGTGTGATATTTAACACTGTGATATTTAACACTGTGTGATATTTAACACTGTGATATATAACACTGTGTAATATTTAACACTGTGTAATATTTAACACTGTGTGATATTTAACACTGTGTGATATTTAACATTGTGATATTTAACACTGTGTGATATTTAACACTGTGTGATATTTAACACTGTGTGATATTTAACACTGTGTGATATTTAACACTGTGATATTTAACACTGTGATATTTAACACTGTGTGATATTTAACACTGTGATATTTAACACTGTGTGATATTTAACACTGTGATATTTAACACTGTGTGATATTTAACACTGTGTGATATTTAACACTGTGTGATATTTAACACTGTGATATTTAACACTGTGTGATATTTAACACTGTGATATTTAACACTGTGTGATATTTAACACTGTGATATTTAACACTGTGTAATATTTAACACTGTGTAATATTTAACACTGTGTGATATTTAACACTGTGATATTTAACACTGTGTGATATTTAAACACTGTGATATTTAGTGATATTTAACACTGTGTAATATTTAACACTGTGATATTTAACACTGTGTGATATTTAACACTGATATTTAACACTGTGATATTTAACACTGTGTGATTATTAGTGTTAGTGTGCGTTGCCTTGAGTCTGGTACGATACATTTCATGATTTACGTGTCACAATTCAATATCCCGATATTAAACCATCGGAGGAGATGTTGCAATTTATCAGTAATTATCTATTAAAACAGTCAACTGGATCTTCATGAGAAACAGTTGTTTGAAATATATTTTATACATTTTCCAGGACTTTTGTGAAAAAATATAATTTTCAAAATTGATTCGATGCATTTTAAATTGATTAGAGAATTGTGCAATGAAGTGTCATGATATATCACTATATATATATAAAAAATGTGTTCTCACCTTCCACGGTGGTTGGTCTCTCACCCTCATTGAGCTCGGGTCGTCTACCAGAGGCCTGGAGCTTGACAGTTCTGCGCAGTATCTTTGCTGTTCCCAGTACTGCACTTTTCTGGACTGAGATGTTCCGTTGTTTTTCCCGGTATCTGTTGTAGCCACTCTTCCAGTTTGGGGGTTACAGCCCCGAGTGTCCGATCACCACAGGCACCACTGATGCCTTTACTTTCCAGGCTCTCTCCAGCTCTTCCTTGAGCCCCTGGTATTTCTCTAGCTTCTCGTGTTCCTTTTTCCTGATATTACCATCGCTTGGTATTGCGATGTTCCACCACCACGGCTCTGCTCTGTTTCTTATCCACCACCACTATGTCTGGTTGGTTCGCCATCACCATTCTGTCAGTCTGTATCTGGAAGTCCCACAGGATCTTGGCTCGGTCATTCTCCACAACCTTTGGAGGTGTGATATGTCGCTCCATGTATGTCGCATACATGGAGCGACATATAATATATATATATATATATATATTTTTTTTTTTTCCACTTGCAAAAACAATAGACAAAAACAAAGGACATACAAGTTCACAATCATGACAAGGACAATAACAAAACATGACAAATGCATCACACACATGTACATACACACATGTACATACACACATGGATATACACATTATATATACATGCACATGTGTGTGTGTATGTACATACACCTACACACATGTACATACACATACTGTAATGTGTACACACATGTGTGAACACACACTGACATACACATGGACATATATACAGTTAAATGCACAAAAGTTGTGGCTACAAACCTGTCAAAAGAGTTCAGAATTTCTCCCCCAACTAAGAAAATTTGTTACCACCGATTTTTATGAAATTTTTTATTCTTTTCAGATTGAACACATTATTCCTCCAAAATAAAACAAAACTCCACAAACTGACAAAAAAACAATATTTATGGATTCAGCATTTTTCACATAAAAAATACATTTCTTCCCCATAAGAATGATCAGGTTTACAATGTCCCTTCACTTTGTTTCTCCCTAAAAAAACCCGGTAATACTGACAGGAGGAACAGCTCAACTTCAGTAACATTACAGGATGTTTTGTATTTCCTGTAAACGTTCACGTTGTGGTTCCAGGCTCGAGTCGCGCTCGGTGTTTTCCGTTTGAGATCGACGGCGTCCGGGTGGGTTGGGTCCCTCCTCACGTGGCCTCGGCGCTGGAGCCGTACCCCGAGGTCTTCAGCGTGTCCACAGGGGGCGCCGTGTCCCTGTCCCCCGCGCTGGACTCCTACACCGCGAGGTCCGAGGCCGTGGACGCCGTGCTCCAGAACTTCAGGAAACAAGACGCCTTCAGCTGCCTCAGAGGATGGAGGGACGAGGTGAGTCTCAGGACGGAGCCCGAAAAGTCTGATCAGTCTGCACATGTAGGAGCCGTGAAGTCGTGGAAAATACACACAGCACGAATCTCAGACTTCAGGTCATCGTACAATCCAGACTGGGAAGGATCCTCAGAAAAAGTGAACATCAAACCTCCATGTTTGTTTTCCCAGTGGGACGTGTCTATTGACAAAGTCCATCTTTTCAAGTCTTTTGAACCATGTCACTTTTGTTTCTGGTTCTGATATTGTCATATTTTAGTTTGGGGATTCGGACATCGTAATTATCAGTGTTGGGGAGTAACAGATTACATGTACCAGAGTAATCAGAGTACAAATGATGAGTAACTGTATTCAGTTACAGTTACTGTTTCAGTGAGTGGTAAACCAGGTCTAAACCAGGACTAAACCAGGTCTAAACCAGGATTAAACCAGGACTAAAACCAGGACTAAACCAGGACTAAACCAGGACTAAATCCTGCTGTGTGGACGTGTTTCTTCTTCTTCTATCAATAATATTTTTAATTTGGTTCAGTAAAATCTGGACTTTTTATTTTCTTTTATCAGACAAAACTTCTTATGTGAAGATTTCCTCGTCTTTGTTTCTCTACAACAAATCAAATAATCCAAAGTAATCAGATTACATTACTCACTTTAAGTAATTTAATGGATTCTGTTACAAACTACATTTTGGTGTGTGTAATCTGTAATCTGTAGGGGATTACATTACAAAAGTAACACTCCCAACACTGGTAATTGTTGTGGTTGTTGGATCCAAACAGCGGAAAACGACTTGAGAAATGTGTTTGTGAACTTCATAAATGTAAAAGTGAATCAGATGTGTGTGACTCAAACCTCTGTTCAAACTGTTTCTCTTCCCAACGGAATTGAAAAATAGTGAAAGGTGAAGGTGATGGGCAGGATTGATCCACAGGAAGAACCAAAAAGGAAACATTTGTCTGACTAAGAAATCATCCTGAGTTTACAGAGAACATTTTGTATGTGGAGCAACAACAAAACAAAAATCCTGTTTGTTAATGTAGAGGAGCAGAAGACAAACAGACTGAGCTGCACTTTCTTGTTCTTGTGGTTTTACAGAAACATCACGTCT